GATATCTTTTTTTTTTTTTTTTTTTTTTTTTATTTATTTTAGTTATTGGCGGACATAACATCTTTGTTAGTATGTGGTGCTGAGGATCGAACCTGGGCCGCACGCATGCCAGGCGAGCGCGCTACCGCTTGAGCCACATCCCCAGCCCCCAGGGGATATCTTAATTTTCTTACCTTTTCCTAAAAAAGGATATTCATGAGTTTGCCTTTTTCTTACTATTAATAAAAATATTTTGAGGTGTAATTTCATACAGCTTTTAGTGGATAGATTCTCCTGAAGTTGCATCAGTGAGTCAAAAGACATATCCTTTTTAAGATGAGTGGTGATGACACACACCTGTAACCCCAGCGACTTGGGAAGCTGAGGCTGCAGGATCCCAAGTTCCAGGCCAGCCTCAACAACATTATTTTTAATCATGTTTCTCCTTTGGTGATGTATCTATACAAATTTTTTGACCACTTTTTAAATATAGTTTGTTTTCTTATTGACTTGGGAGTGTTCTTTATATATTCTGGATACAAACCCCTTATTAGTTTTTAACCTTTTATAAATATTTTCTTTTTTTTACACTTTTTTTAAATATTCATTTTTTAGTTGGACACAATATCTTTATTTTTTTATTTTTATGTGGTGCTGAGGATTGAACCCAGGGCCTCGCACTTGCTAGGGGAGCACTCTACCAATGAGCCACAACCCAGCCCCTTTTATAAATATTTTCTCCCAGTCTGTGCCTTGTCGTTTCATTTTCTTAACTATGTCTTTCAAAGAACAGAAGTTTTAGTTTTGATGAAGTCTAATTCATCAATTTTTTAATCCCATAGTTCCTATAGTCCAAGAAATATTTGCCCATACCAAAGTCACAAGGGTTTTAAAGTTTTATAGCTTTAAGTTACATTTAGGTCTATGATCAACTTTGAGTAAATTTTTGTACATGACCTGTGTGGGTTGAATTTCATTGTTTTTTTGTTTTTGTTTTTTGCATATGAATGTCTAATGACCCCAATATCCTGCCAAATTAAACATGTATGGGTCTGTATCTGATCTCTGTATCCATACATTTTGTTACCGATTTTTGGCCCCAAACTAGGTCTTCTTTCTCTCTTGGGATTGTGGAACCAATAACAGGACTGAGCACAATTGAACAGTGAAGGATGGTTTATTCCTGGTCAAGAACAGGAGAAGTGGGGAATAAACCTGCAAGTCAACTTCTCAGCTCATTGCGGGTTGGGAATTTATGGATGGAAAAGGAAGGAAATGAGGGCAGGGAAGGGCTAATAAAGGGAGGAATATTCGTGTATTTTCTGGGAATAGGTTGGAAATTACCCTGGAATTCAGGCACCACCTCTTTCTGCTCCTTTTCTGGTTCTTTCTGATTATCTGCCTGGCAATTGTTAACTGTCATGGCGTTGGGTGGGGGTCATTTATTAAGAAGATAGATTATAGTGCACTTAGAGGTTGTCTGGTGGTCATAGATCCAAACAGTTTTGTCCACCTCGCTGGCTCTGGAACTTCTGGTCTACAGGCAACCTTCCTCAAAGATGAACAAGATTGGGTGGGTTAGAAATTCAGCTGGGTCACTTAGGCAGTACAAGATTAGGGAGGGTAGCATTTTGTCTGTAGCACACTGTCTTGATTGCTGTAGTTCTGTAATCAGTCTTGACCTTAGATGATACTCCTCCTTTTTTTTTTTTGTTCTTTTTCAAAATTGTTTGGCTTGTCTCCATTATTTACAATTCCATGTACATTTTAGAGTTAGCTTGTCATTTTCTCAAAAAGGCTTTCTGGGTTTTTGATCATGACTGTGTATGGATCAGTCCAAACTCAGATAACTGTAAAAGTAAAAAGGACTTTATTTGGGTTCTTAAAAATTGCCATTTGGCCTGGATGTGGTGGTACATGCCTGTCATCCCAGCAGTTTAGGAGGCTGAGGCAGGAGGATTGCAGGTTTGAAGCTAGCCTCAGCAACTTAGTGAAGCTGTAAGCAATCTAGTAAGACCCTCCCTGAAAATAAAAAAATAAAAAGGGCTGGGGATATGGCTCAGTGGTGAGTCTCCTTGAGTTCAATCCCTGGTACCCAAAATTGCCATTTGGGAGACACAGGTTCAGATAGTTCTGAATCAGTGTTCTCTGGAAGCCAGAATAAATGGGAGCTAATATGAGCTCTTGAATGTTGAGAGGAACAGGGGCTACATGAGGTTGGAAGATGAAGAAAAGAATCATGAACAGAATGGAAGTGTTAATAAAACAAGAATTCAATCTCTTGACATGCGTTTTGAGCCTCTGGGCACAATGTAGCTGTCTGGTCATTAGGTCATTCAGGCCAGTCCAGATGCCAGTGAGTCTAAGGGTGGATTCCTAGGCAGCAGGTAGAATCCTGCACAGTGCTGCCCCTTTCTTGGCCTCCCAGGGCCATTCTGAAATGCTCTTTATGTGTCACTTTCAAAGTAATTTTCCTTTTATTTTGCACATGTCAGGTCTGTGAGTCCCTTTGTGGAAAAATGACATCTGAACACTATTAACTCCTCGATCGTGAAACTGATACCTCTGTCCATTTATTTAGGTCTCAATTTTCTGTAAGGTTCTTAATACATTTTGTCAAATTGAAGGTTGATCTTCTACTATCTTACACTGTTTTTAGCACATGATTTGTGGCTAATAAATCAACATTTTCCTGCCAAGCACCCGCGTGCACACACGCACACACACACACACACACATTCTCTCTCTCCTTCCTTTCTTCCTTCCTTCCTTCCTTTCTTTCTTTCTTTTTTTTTTTTAACTAGGGATTGAACTCTGGGGTGCTTTACCACTGAGCTAAGTCTTCAGACCTTTTTATTTTCGATTTTGAGACAGGGTCCTCACTAGTTGCTGAGGCTGCCCTCAAATTTGCAATCCTCCTGCCTCAGCCCCCTGAGTCCCTGGTATTACAGGCATGGGCTGCCCTGCCTGTCCAAAAGCTCTCTCAGTTATGCTTTCTCTCCCAAGCCTTTTGCCCCCTCACTTCCATACTCAGTGGCTTGTGATACATTGTTTTATTTCTTTTGAAGTTTGTAATTCTTTATAAATATACACTCAATAAACTATATATATAAGAGTACATTTTGAGAAATATTCCCAAAATGAAAATACCAGGTCAAGCAACAGAACACTGGCAGCAACCCAGAAGCCTCGCTGTGACCCCTGCCAGTGCTGCCAAGAAGAGCCATGTCCCAACTTCCACTCCACAAGTAGCTTTGTCAGGGCTTAGCTGCAAGGGACCTACCTCTGGGTCCCACCTCCTTGCTGTGCTTCTTTCTCTTCTGTATTTTGCTAGTCCCTAAAATGCCCACCCCTCTTCTGCCTTCTCTCTCCTTATTTCTTCCTTCAGCTTCCTCAAAATGTCCTCTTCATCAAGTTCTGCTTCCCTAGGAAGTCCTCCTGTCCTCCCCAGTTTCCATCCACCTTGCATTTGCCTTCGTTGACATGTTCATCATGGTGTGTTGAGGCTTTCAACTTTCTGAAACCTGGAGCAAGTTTTTCTGTAGACCCAGGATGTTCTGTGGGGCCTGGCATACAGCAGGAGATGAGTGGCTGTATATTGGGTGAATGCTGAGTGCCTAGGAAACCGACTCCCCAAAAGAGGGAGGTCCTTGTTCACAGAGGTCCCCCGGCTTCCAGTCGTCACTGGCTTCTCGTCCAACCCCTTCTCTCCCTTGCGTTCCCTGACATTTGGTGATGTATTTCTCTGTGGCCAAGCTGCTTCTGGAGCAAGACAGTATCATAGCTCATCGAGCTTTTTCCGTATCACTTTTGAGACAAGTGAGAGAGCTTGATGCCCTTGGCTCCTCATCTGCAGTGAAAGAGCAATAGCGTTCCACCTGCTCAGTCTGTGACCAGTCTCTTATTTCAGCGTCACAGGTGCACAGGTAGCTGACTCTGGGCAGTGCTGAAGTCCCGCAATCATTCACCCCGCTGCCAACACATCTTGGGATGCCTTTTCACTTAGTAAGAAGTGGCCATATATACCACTTGTTTGTTGCTCTGTGTCAGAGTCTAGCTTCTTCTGATCATAATGACTGGGAGTGTTTACGTGCCACATTGGGGCCACAGTGACAGATGTGAAAAATAGAGTCCTTTCCTTGCCACACAGATTGCATTTAGCAAGGGTACAGCCCAAAGACTGGGTAAATTCCCAGGCATGATGGTGCATGACTATAATCCCAGCAGTTTGGGAGGCTGAGGCAGGAGGATCACAAGTTTGAGGCCAGCCTTGGCAATGCAACAAGACCCTGTCTCCAAACAAATAAATAAAAATATGACTAAGTGGTAAAGCATCCCTGGGTTCAATCCTCAGTACCAAAAAAAAAAAAAAAAAAAGATTGGATAAATTCCATTTAGTGAAGCAGGAAGGAGGAAAAGAGCTTATCTGACTGACTTGAGACATGAAATGGTTCTGTTAATAATTGGAATGGTTTACATCTACCAGAATAGAATAGACGGCAGTTCTTACCAACTCCTCAAACATCAGACCTGTCTCCCCGTCTCTTGTTCATTTGAACTCTGGTCCTGAGTGCCTCATGTCTAACTGGAGGACTGAGATGTTTATTTAACTATTATCTCAGACAAACCCAGCCAGAGCATGTGATGGGGTGGCTGGAGTGGATCTGGGGAAGGAATAATAGGTGAGGTGAAAGAGGGGCAGATAGGAAGGAGATGTCATTGGAAGGAGCAGGACGAATGCGATGACCTGGGGTGGGGGGGGGGGGTCCAGGCACACGAGCTTGTGTGGGCAAAGGCCTAGAGATTTGTCTGTGCATCTAGGTTTCCTGGGCCCAGGCTGTAGGTCTGTTAAGCCTCTGCAGAACCTATTGCCAGAGGCTTAAAGAGTGGGCCATAGAGGAGCATGGCCGGGGCATGCCTGCGATTAGACTGCAAGCCCTGGACATGGGCCAGTGTCCCACGGATGCACCAGGGAAGGCTTGGGCAGGAGGACTCTTGACCTTCCACTTTCTGTCCTGCAGGAGAAAATCGGCTGGCGAAAGGATGCCCTTCACTTGCTGGTGTTCACAACGGATGACGTGCCCCACATCGCGCTGGATGGAAAACTGGGGGGCCTGGTGCAGCCACATGATGGCCAGTGTCATCTGAACGAGGCCAACGAGTACACTGCATCCAACCAGATGGTGAGGGGCAGCCAGGCTCCGAGGGGGACCCCTCCCTCGCAGTGTTCACCCCACCTCTGATCCTTTCTCTGGCCCTCAGTCCTCACTGGCCTTTGGTCGGTTCTTGGTCTCATCCTTTTTTCTCTCTTCTCCAAGTGGGTTTCTGGAACTCCTCATTAACTTGGGACATTTCCCAGGGATTTCTGTAGCAGGTTCATCTTTCTGCCATTATGTATCCAAGTGGAGAGATTTTTGGTAGAGGAAGAAGGTAACTGGGGGAGTCGGGAGAGACCATGGGCAGAGGGGATCTTAAAGGAATGTGAGGAATGGTTTCCTACAGAGCTCACAACTGGGATGGAAGTCACAGGGAGGATTCCTGGCTTCTAGAAATGGCTCTCTGAGACAGTGAGTTCCCTGTCAGTGTCAGAGGGGCAGCAGGTGGACTGCTGGACCAGGAGCCTTGGGGATCCTCCACTCCCAATAGCCTATGACAAATAGCCACTTAATTTAAAAGAATTTATACAGAACTTCAAACACATATAGTAATAGACAAGCACGGCGAACCCCTGCATACCCATTACCCAGCCCCAACAACTCTCGAGCTCTTGCCACACATACAATATGGTCTTTTCCAGAAATCTGTACCTTCTTCTTTCCCAAATCCATTCTCGTGTCTGGCCGGGAAGGAGCTGTTCCCAATTTTCTTTGTGAGACAAGCCCATTTTTCTCCAGTTTCAAGAAGTGATCATGTCGAGGCCTTCCAAATTATCCAGAAGTGGTGGAATATGGAGAAAAGACTCCAGACTGTAGGACCTCAGCTGATGGCAACCTCTGTGCCCCTCAGCAGACCTTAAAATCCTTAAGGACCCTGTTAACTGCTTCTCAGCCTCCTCCTGCCTCCTGGCTCTGCATCCCACCCCATGGCCAGCTTTTAGCCCAGTGGTCAGCAGCCTCCTCCTCCTGTTCGGAGCTATGAGCGGGGGCTGTGGTTGGGCACAAGAAATGGAAAATAGGGCAAGGGAAGGTCTTAGGGCAGAGAGGGAAGCGCAGAGTGCTGAAGGCAGATGGTAGGACACAGTGGTTGTTCTCCTTGGGGCCTCAGCATCTTGCTGGAGGATGGAGACACAGCAGCCTGGAGAAGCCCCAGTCCTCATTTAACCACTCTGGGGTGTCTGGCAAGTACCTCAGGGTCCTTTGTGCACCTCTGCAAAGTCCCTCAGTCAGGAGCTGCTACTGGGGATTGAGGGTTCTGAGGGGCCACCTGAGGGAAACCTTTCCTTTTCATGGTAAATGTGGAGCAGCTGAATGTGTGTTGGAGCAGGTGCTGGGCTCTCAGCTCATCCCAAGTGTCACAGCCTTGATTTGCCCTGGCCCTAGGACTATCCGTCCCTTGCCTTGCTTGGAGAGAAGCTGGCAGAGAACAACATCAACCTCATTTTTGCAGTGACGAAAAACCACTATATGCTCTACAAGGTATGCCTTGGGGTGGGGATGGAGGGTGGCCTGGTTCTGGGGCTTCACTGACTCTAAGGGAGGTTAGAACTGAGTGGGAGAGTGGTAAGGCCTGTTCCCAGCCCTGCTCTGTGTGGCGAGAGACAAAGGAGGAGTGCAGTGTAGCTCTGACTTGATCCAGTGAAAAAATCTTATATTGAGGAAAACTCAAGCATTCGCACAGCCATGAATATCTTTACAAGGAATTTAAACTTATGGTATTCAGTTTGATTCTGAGAGAATCCTTGAAAATGGTGTGAATCCCCACTTTTCTGTTGATGAAATGGAAACGTGGAGGGGCATACTCTATAGGGAAGGGAAATAAGTGCAGATGTGCACTTAAATATTCAAGTAAGCAGCCTGCATCACTACTTCAGCATTCTTTATGCCTCACTAGCAGAGAGTGGTGACCAGCGGGTCATCTGGGATAGGAGCTCCCCAAGAGAACAGCCAATGTCCTGATGGCACGGAGCCATCTGTAGGGTCCTTTCCATCTAATGAGACTGTTCCCAGGTTGGTTGTCCTGTCATGCATCGTCATCAGCTCCCCTGTGAGCACTCTTTCCTGCCACAATGGGCAGGTCACACATTGAACTCGAAACCCGAGATACACAACTTCTGTGAGCTGAAGGTGAAGCCCACCCTCACCTCTGATGTCCTTTTTGCTGAGAGGTTAGGAAACTTCACCAGGAATCCCCTAAATATTCACAAAGAATCCTGTCTGATCCTGTCTTTCTATGACTCTTGTGAAGACTATCCCTGGTGAAAAGCCACAGGTGTCTTTTGGAATTCTTGAGCTTCTTTTTGTGTGAGTCTGTTCTAGACAATGAAAACAGGGAGGACAATCTGTTGCTGCTGTTTTGTTTGTTTGGAAAATGGCAGGCTGATGCGTTTTACAAAGTACATTTTTAGAGGGATTAATGGGTATGTACTGTCGTGGGCTTCCAGATGTTTTATGAGAAGAGAAAAGAAATCCTACTCAGCTTTAGCCATCCTTTCCCAGAACCAAGTCCCCTGGCTCAGGGAAGTGCCTCATAAGGGACTCTGCAGAATGCCATAAATGTGGACTTTCTGTTTTTGGAAAGTGGATTTGTCAGATTGCCATCATCAGTAACTTTTTGATATGGAACATGATTGAGGCCAGGGAGGATGTTACATGCAATAAAAACTAAAAAAAAAAAAAAAGGGATTTGCAGGCTGAGGGCAGTGGCTGCTCCATCCCTGTTACAAGAGCCGTGTTTAGGAGTTAGTACTGAGGGAAGAGGGCAGCCAGTCCTTCAGGGCCGCCTGCTTTGTCCCAAGACCACACTCAGAGGTCCTTGGGAGGGCACCCTATTGGTCCTCAGCTCCCTATTGAGGAAAGAAAGTGTACTTGAGACCCTTGGGAAACTTGCCCTTTGCGCTCCTGGGGACAGACAGTATATCCTGGAAGTCGAACATGGGATCACCTGTGTAGACCAGAGGAGTGAGGGCAAGAAAAACATGTCCTCCTCAGAGGATGGACAGAGGATGTCCCTAACAGGCCAGAGGGGCAAGGTCTCCGAGACTTTGTGCTTTAGGGCAGGCTTGTCAGCCTTCTTCCGCAGGCTCTGGGATTCCTCAGCCATTGCAGCAAGTCGGTCCTTGCACCAGTTCTTCTCACCTTCCCTTGTGGCAGCTTCTCCCATGTGTGGTGCAGGAGGGTGGCCCAAGAGTGCCAGGCCCTTAGTGTTCTAGTCAGTAGAGGAGTGTTCACTCTGATGGAACGGAAGGCAAAATGGACTTACTTCCTTCTTTCTTTTTCAAGAATTTTACAGCCCTGATACCTGGGACCACGGTGGAGATTTTACATGGAGATTCCAAGAACATCATCCAGCTGATTATCAATGCATACAATGTAAGTCTCTGCCTTGGCCCCCATCACCTCCTCCATCCTGCTCACTCCTACTGAGTGCCTGGGGACTGATGTGGGTTCAGGGGGGCAGTGCGCCGTGCTCGTGGACTCAGCTCTGCTCTGACCCTACTTCCCTCCGCAGTCTCCACCCTCTCATCCTTGGCTGGTCCCAGTGAGCCAGCAAGTGGCTCAGTGAGACTCAGGCCCACAGCCTGGGGTCACCTCCAGTTCTGATACCTCTTGTGGGTGTGTGCTGGTGCTCTCCACCCATCCAGTTGCCCAGATGGTTCTGAACAGCATTTATTCCCTGGGTGAGGCCAGCAGGGCATCCGCTAGCCACAGCTGCAGGCTGTGAGAAGTGAGAGGCATGTGCTCCAACCTTTGCCTCACAGCAAGCAGGTCAATTGGAATTCCTTATCCTCGTAGGACTCAGTGGAGAACTGCAGACTAACAGGGACAAAGGGGACACAAGAAAAAAATCAATGTCATTTTGCCCACACACTGAAGACTCGATTGCAATTGAGCCCTTTCGGAGGGATTCTGAGTGGCACATGAGATTCTGTGCTGTTGTAACTCGTCTTGGGCTCATGGCTCTAGTGTGAGTGCAGGAGCTCGTGGACATGATTTAGGAGTCACTTCCATATCTCAAGCCAGTCATTCAAGGAATCACTTCCCAAATCTTTCTTCTTTCCACCATCCTTTCCCTCAGTTCATGACATCCAAGAAACACTTGTCTCAGACCCATCTTCCCTGAGGAAATGGTGAGCACAATTTTTTGAACTGGGAAGTATGTTCCCTTGGCCATTCCCTCCCCGCTAGGCTCAATATGGTTGCAGCATCCAGTGCCCGCCATGCCCTCAGGGGTGGGGTAATTTCTAGATTAGACTTCAGAATCATCAGCCTGTTGAAATAGAGTATCATGAAGTAACACGATTAGTCCCAAATTTACATAAAATAGACTTGTGGGCTAACCTGGGAACCTCTCAGTAAGGCATTACATATCTGTGATAAGAATCATCTTGCTTTCCCTGCAGTGACTGATTTATAAATGAGTAATTTGGAACCCTGCCTTTCCCAGTGTTGACTTTGTCCACCTACAGATGTGGCCCTATTTTGAGTTACAAAGTGCTGCTCAGCTAAACCAGGAGTCACTGAGGGACCTTAGAGTCAGGGTGTAGCCAGCCCAGCACCTTGTCTCTCTGAGACCCAGTACCTAATGACAGCAGATTGGGCAGTGTGAGGACTTCTGGCTAGTTTGCCCTCCCTTCCTCCTGGCCATGTCAGCCCATCTCCTGTGATACTTCGGGCTCCTCTTCCTCCCTTACTAAGTTCCCCACATACTAACATCCTCTGACATTTAAATCCTCACAAGATCCAGTGGCCACCTCGGAGCCCAGAGCCCAGTGAGACAGTGTTTCCAAATTGACTTATACTTTAGTGGTTTTCAGATTATACAGTGAGTAATTTGGTTTGCATTTCAGAAAGAGGGAGAACAATTTTGCTTGGTTACATGGGCACAGCAGATCTGCTGAAACACCACATACTGAGAGGGCTTTGAGAAGGGAGTGTGAGGGAAGGCCCAGGCCTGGCAAGGTCACCTCTTTCCTGGGATCTCTCCTCACTGGAAGCTTCTCAGGTCTCAAGCGCTGGACACTGAACTAAAGGAATCATGACCAAAGGAGCAGCCTCATCTGTGCTCTGTGGGGTACTGAGAAGACTGCTCCTGGGCTTCTGGGGAGAAGCTCCTTCCCGGCATTTCTATCCTCAGCTCAAGTTCAGACCCACCAGCAGCCGACAGACCTCCTGGGCTCCCTCAGAGCATTTCCTGGTGAGGGCCCAGGCCCTCTGCCCCTGTGGCTTTGATAAAGAGAGCATGATGACACATAGTTCCATAGAACTGGCTGGGTGGAGTTTGCCAGAAACAGGGAAAGCTCGGTGCATCAGCATTTTCCTGTGGCTGAGGGGATCTGGATGTCCATGCATGTGTGGAGATTACACACAAGCATGGACATACTGGATCATATATCCTTTATTATAGCTTTTATTAACATACCTGTAAACATAAGTTAGGTTTTTCCCTGCATTCTTTAAGCCCATCCTAATACATTAATTGAACTTGAGGAAGACATCATGGAAACCCTAATTTATTTCTTTGATTTTATTTTATATTGGTGCAGTCTAATTATATATAATAGTGGGATTCCTTGTGCCATATTCACACATGCACATTACATAATTTGATCAATCTCATTCCCCAGTAGCTTCCTTTTCCCTTCCTTCCTCCTCCCTATTCAGGAGTCCATTTGTTCTGTTCTACTAATCTCCCTTTTATTTTTATTATTATTATTAAACTAGTGCATTATAATTACATATATATGCAGGATTCATTGTGGTATATTCATACATGAACCTAGCATAATTTGGATAAGAACCCAGATTTATAGCCAGTGGGTCAGAGATTAAGTCACAACCTACCACTTACAACTGACATTCGAAGTGTGTGGGGGTCCTTATAGAATTGAGCTCCCCACCTGTGGCATCTGACACTTGTCTCCAGGTAGACAGTGTCAGAACTGAATTGATTTGAATTACAGGCCACACGGCTGGATGGAGGATTGCCTGGTGTGTGGGTCGGGGGTGGAGGGATTCCCACCCCTCTGGTGCCAGCCGCGTCGTGTTGGATCGTGTGGAGACTTGAGAGTAGGAATGGAGCTTTGTTTTTCCTTCAGGTACCATCCTCTTGCTGCTGTCGGGTGGCAGTGGGGAGGCCCAGGTTGGGCTCCAGGCTCCTGGCACTTGCCCTGGATGCGAGTCTGCCCTGGCTGTCGTGTGTGGGGTGCACTTTGGCCAGCAGGAGAGGCTCTCCACAGCCCTTCGCCTGCTGCTCTCTGGCCAGGGTCTGGTCACAGCTCTGCTTTACTATTGCATTTCCGGTGTTACCTTCCCATTGGAGCAATTTGTGGTGGATTTCGTGTGAGTCAACACAACACATGACTAAGCGGGGGTGTTGACTCTTCCCTCCCCTGGAGGGCTGGCCAGTGCTCTGTGGGCCACTCTGAGGTTTGGGTTGGAGCGTATGTAGCGGATGAGATGGCCGTGGTATTTGGCCTGCTGAGGAGGGAGCCGAGCGCAAAGGGAAGGTGTAAGGCGGTGTCTTGTGGAAGCAGCCTGTTGCATGCAGCTTTTGTAATGTGCATCTGTCAGCTCGTGGGTTTATACATTTTTTTCTTGCTGTCCCCAATTCTTCAGTGTGAGAAATCACCACGTCCTCCTGAGGGAGTTTGGCAGCCTGGAACTTGGCCTGGAGCAGGTCCTGGTGAGAGGTTGTCTCTCAGGGCTCAGCCACAGGCCCCGGGTCCGTACTCACAGATGCCAGCAGCATGCCCCACTGACAAGGGGTGGGGTAGGACTCAGAAATCATGGGCCTCTTTAACGTGGGAGAGGACAGAATGAGCTAGAAACCACTTGGGCTGCATGTGGAGTGACATCAGAGCCATGGCGTGTTTTCCCCTAGCCGGGCACATGTTTCTCTTTTGGTTGTTGCCATAAAGTCTGCTCCACCCACTGCACAGCTGGCCTGACTTAAAGCAATTACAGATGTGACCTAACCTGACCGGGTACGTTACAGAATAGGCTTTAAACTTCTGACATTCTTGACATTGTCTCCTTTTCCTAAGAAGGGGAATAGGAATCATGTCCAGAGGGAAGTCTGGTAGGAATTTATTGAGTTCCAGTGAGCCACATATAAAGGCCTTCCTGCGTAAGAACTTCCTGCAGCTTTGATTCTCTATTATGTCTTGCCCTTCCTTCCTTCATCCACAGATGTACCCTAATGGCCTGATGGGTGGCAGGCGTCATGCTACACCATGGCAATGTAGCAGTGAACCAAACACAGCCCTGCCCTCCAGAAACTCACCCATTTGGGGGAGACCAACCCATACCTCCAATCAGGGTACTCACTTCCCAAAGTCAGAGAAGCAGTTCCACAGAGAAAAGTGTGTCTCTGGTGAGAGGGTTTGGGTACGTACCGGGGGGATGGAGAGAGTCTGCTGCTGGTCCTGCATGCCTCCAGCAGCTAAGCCTGGGCCTTGGTTTTTGCTACTTTCAACGAGAGGTTTGAACTCAATCATCTCCATGGTTTCTGCTACCTCTAACATCCCAAGAGTTTCTGACTCCCCAGCACTGTGGGGAGCAGGAATTCAGGTCAGAGCACAAGCTTAGGGTCTTGTGGCCTAAGTAGAGGATAGGACTGGATCTCCATCCTGTTGCAGTTACTGAACCACAGAGTAGGAGTCCCCATCCCTGGTGTTCTTTCTCCTCTTGCCAAGTCCTCCATTAACAGATCAGCGGCAGCTTTGGCAGATCTCGGTGGGGAAATGCCAGTGCTTCCTTCCAACGTTTTGCTGCTGCTGGACCACAAGGCCCTCATATTTCAAGTGACTGTTTTCAATTTTTGGTGTAGCTCTGGTCTACCTAACTCTTTTATGGTATGCTGTTTTATCTCATCCTCGTACTTATTAACAATTATAAATAAATTTTTAAAATTTAATTTGTCTTTAAAAATAAGTTTAATTTTCATCTGCTTGGCCTAAGTCATTTAGCCCCTATTAAAACATTCATTCTTTCGTCCATCCCATCATTCAAAAAGCGCTTGTGCTGAGTCTCAGAGAGGTATGCGTCATGGCCCTCGGAACTCACATACAGTTGGAAGACAGATCTGCAAAGAGCTGCTCAGCTAGAGAATGCCATGTTGAGTATTGCCTTTGTGACCCTTGACCAGCTAAAGCTGGCACTTACAAGAGGAAGTAGATTTAAGAAGAATCATATTTTTAGAGTGTAGAAGCACTTAAACAATTGGCTGCAAAGAGAGAGACTTTTTTTTTTTTTTGCAGAGTATTTTCAACAAGCTGTTAATTTGTTTGGAAAACTGAATATTTCACTTATTCAAGTTTAACACTATATGCTCAGCAAAAAAAGAAAGAGTAAAGAAAACCTACAAGAGGCAGTTCTGCCTGCTGTTCTGTTCGACAGCTGTTCTCCCCGGGGATGCACCTGAGAAGGAGGGCCGTGGGAGCCTGGTCTGGGTTCCATGTGTCTCTCAGAGTATGATGTCTTGCTTCTGCTCAGAGTGCTTAGTGTTAGGATGGTTGTTTTCTTAATGTTTGATAAAATATGACTCTTATATACAAGCCAATTACTCCATTGACCCCTGGTCTCCAGAGTAACATCTTCCTTAGAGATTTTCAAAGGCAGTTTTTCAAAACCAACAGACATATACAAAATCACATGAACTTTTCACCAACTGAGTATCCAGCACCTGGGTCAAAAACACAGGAAAATTCCAACACCAGGAAGTCCCTCTCTGTCTGCCAAGGGTAACCATAAGTTTTACCTGTTTCTGATCAGCAAATTGTACCCTGTTTTACAACAGGGACAAAGACCTATGCTGAGAAACGTATCCTTAGGTAATTTCTTCATTGTGCAAAAGTCATCATAGAGTGTACTTACATAATGCAGATGATGGAGCCTACTGCATACCGAGGCTGTGTGATACAGCCTCTTGCTGTAGGCTACAGTCCTGAACAGCCTATTATTGTACTGAATACTGTAGACAGTTGTAAAACAATGAAGTACTTGTGTATGTAAACATATCTAAGCATAGAAAAAGTATGGTAAAAATACTGTGTATTAAGAATTTTTCAGGGCTGGGGATGTGGCTCAAGCGGTAGCGCACTCACCTGGCATGCGTGCAGCCTGGGTTCGATCCTCAGCACCACATACAAACAAAGATGTTGTGTCCGCCAAAAACTAAAAAAAAATAAATATTAAAATTCTCTCTCTCTTAAAAAAAAAAGAATTTTTCAGCTCTTATAATCTTATGGGACCACATTAGTATATGTGGTCTGTTGTGAACCAAAATGTCTTTATGACTGTAAATAGAGCCATATAACATGTAAGCCTTTGTGTCTTGGCTTCTTTCAGGCAGTGTTACATTCATGAGATTTGTCACTGTCCTTGCATGTAGTTGTATTTGGTTCATTATCATTATTGTAAGGCCTCCTACTATGTGAAAACACCACAGGTTTTAAAATCCATTCTACTATTCTAGGCTTTTGCGTAGTTTCCAGGTTTTAGCTATTATAAACTGTATTGCTATAAACATTTCTGCCTAGGTCTGTTAGTGACGTAAACCCTTCTGTTGGGGATAATCCTCTGGTGAATGCTAGGTCTGAGGACGGCCTGACCTTTAGGAGATATTGCCTAATGGTTTCTAAAGGGCTGTCCCAACTAACACTCCAACCAGATGAACGAGAGCCCCCGATGCTCCACGTGCTTTCCGATACCTGATGTGTTCAGTCTTTTATTTTTTCTGTTCCAGTAAATCATTTTGACTTGCTTTTTGTTTCCTGCACCATCTTAACCTACACAGAAGATGGGTCTCTCATAATGTAGTTTCAGACTCATGAACAAGGAACCTCATCTGATGTGGGGGCAAGCTTGAGTGTGAAGGATGATAGGGTGGGTCCTGGAGAAAGTGCCTGCGGAACTGGTTTTGCAGGATGATAAGGTGCTGAATGGAGTGCGGAATGATCAAAGGATTGTTATCTTGGTCCTGAAAAGGCCCAAATCCTAGAGAGCACATGCCGGGATTTTTAGAAACTGTACCTGTGAAGCTGGGGTGGGGGATGAGAGGTGGCTCTGGAGAGGGAAGCAGGAGACCAAATATAACCTCTTGAAGCAGATACTAATATAATTTGGCTGGTAGATCATTATTAATGTGTCCAAGCTCATTGAGGGAGACCTCAAGTCAGCTCCACCAAGATGTTGTGTGGGGGTAGAGAGGAGAAAGGGGGAGGGCAGGGAACCAAGCCTGCTGGCTCTTTCCTTGGCTAAGCCTCCTGGGTTAGAGGAAGCCATGTGGCATCCAAAAACCAGCGCCAACGTCACCTCAGCTGTGGCCTTTACTAAGTGGTTTGGGCTTTGCTGTCTCCCTCTGTTCAGAGTATCCGGTCTAAGGTGGAGCTGTCGGTCTGGGATCAGCCTGAGGATCTCAATCTCTTCTTCACTGCCACCTGCCAAGATGGCGTATCCTACCCAGGTCAGAGGAAGTGTGAAGATCTGAAGATTGGGGACACGGTAAGTGTTCACCTCTGGTTTCTGAGCTCTTGTTAGCCTTGGCCTTTAGTCTTTGGATTCTAATGACTTGTACTTACTGTTGTCCTCTGGGAGTTTGTGTTCTGTCTTCCAACTGAGGATCCTGGGGCGTTTCTTAAGCCTGCTCTGCATTTCACGCTCAGAGTCCCAGGCAGGCTGGTTAAGGAGCCCTGCTTAGTAGACCACCCTCAGTGTACTGCCACCTCAGCCTTCCTCAAGACGACACTGTGCCCCTGGAGTTTTAAACCTTTATCCTCTGAGCACGACAGGGATGCAATCCAGTGGACTGGACCCTGAGAGACCCAGCCTCCATTCTTGCTCTTCTGCAGCTTACTCTGTGCCTTGGATACATAATCTGCTCCATGCTTTTTCTTTCTGTAAAAGTTGAAGAAAGCCACCCACGTGTTCTGATTTGATGAGATGAATGGCTGGCTCTACAGTACTAGAGGGAACAGGTGGTTTGCCAAATAATCGATGTAAGTGATGTATGTAATGATGGACGGCTGTATGCCACACCAAGGACTTGAGAGTGGGAGCCGGGAAGGGCTTTTATGGGTGCTAAGAACACGTGCCAGTGTTGGTGCTGAGGTGGCAGAGTGGTGATGGAGGGCTGCCCACCAGAGGTCCGTGCTTCTGGGGGAAGAACAGGAGATCCGTTCCTGACTTGCTCTGTTGCTCAGAATGTCGGAAGGAAGTGAAGGAAAGCTCTCTTCCGTACTTCAGAGAATCTAGTTAGGAAAAATATATGGACTTTTTAAAAATAGATGACTCTGTCCTCTGGGCAAAATAGGTGACTCTGTCCTCAGGGCACATGTAAGCACTAATCATGGCCAATGCGTGGGTGAGCTGACTTCTCCCCTGACTCAGGGAGACGTGAGTGTGGTCGCAAGGCTGCTCACGCCTCGGCAGTGGTGTTCTGGGGTCTTCTCACTTTCCACCAAAGATCTTTCCCCGCCACCTCTCACATTGCCCTTTTCCTACTCACAACACGCAGGCCAGCCTCTCACCCCTTCCAAATCTCACAACAGAGCTGCACCCCAACAAAGAGACACTTGGAATATGACATGGAAATTGAGAGAGTCAAGATCTCTAATGACTGGGGAACAAATCCTTTTCTTTCTTTACTTTAGTAATGGAAACAAATCATCGTGTAAGACAGGTTATTTATAAGTGTCTTTGGCTTTTTAACAAACTTGAAAGAAGGCCTAATCAAGTTGTCAGATAAGTCATTACAAATGATGGCATTTCACTCAGAGGAAATTCATAGGGAAAAACAGAAGAAAAAAGGAAGAAGAGGAAGGCATTTGTAGAACAAGAAGCCATGACCGTAACAAAAACTCTTCCCGTCTCCATCTTCCTATTTATGCACATAAGTTTTTTGTGTTTATATCTGTATAAAAATAGAAATATAATTGATTGTGATTCCTGCCTTCTTTAGCAATAAATAATGTTATTTTACATACCTATCAACTCTTTGGGGGGAAGACCTGATCTCATTAAAGAGACACTTCCATTAAAATTTTACTTGTTATTTTTAATAATTGTCAAGAGTTATAATGTATAGAGTTATAATGCTGTTTTGATCAATTATAATGATTACTTGATCAAAATGAATTAAAAAAAAACTAAAGCCTTAAAGTTGTAGGGTTTAAAGAGATGATTATGTGGCCTACAGTAGTGCATACCTGTAATCTCAGCTACTTGGGAGGCTGAGACAGGAGGATCACAAGTTTGAGGCCAGCCTCAGCAACGTAGCTAAACCCTGTCTCAAAATAAAAAATGGCTGGGAATGTAGCTCAGTGGTAGAGCATTTGCCTCACATGCACAAGGCCCTGGGTGCAATCCCCAGCACCGCACACACATATACAAAAATCCAGTTCAGAAAGTGGAAAATGGCAGAAATAACCAGAAAAAAACAACATATGACTGCAGATCTGGGTATGGAATGTTTGGTCAGCAAAGTGGAAAAAATGATACGTGGAACACACTGGAACCAGCCCTTTACTTGGAGGAATAGTTACAACAGGAGAGAGGCCTGGGATCTATAAGCAAGGACATGCTACATGGGACCCTATGTTTCTAATGGCATCCTATGAGTAGGACAAATATAATGTGGGTGATGACAGCACAGACTGGTCTGTTGCTGAGTGAAGTAACATGTTTTCTATGAGGACTTGACAGAAGTTCCAGACGTCTCTTATCTGTTGTGCCAACTATTGGCTTGGGTTGAACTCATGGAAGACTTGCCTATCAAATGTGGGAAGGTCACAGAGATGGAGAAAACAGCTTATCTCATAAAGTGGGGAAAAAAAGATTTCACACATTCTCCCCCACCCCCACCCCCAAACCTGAGCTGGAGTGAAATCCTCAAGCTTAATATATTTAGTTCACATTTAGGCTAAAGGGAACATGGTTTGATAGTAATTTTAAAAGGTCTAGCAGGTTGTAGTGGCTCAAAGCTTTAATGTGTATAACTAGTGTTGGTTTAAAAAAAAAATAGGCGGAGGTTGGGGGGATGCCAATTGGGATTGCATTATTTTTGAAAGCCCAGAGAAATGGTGCCACCTTTCTTTGCTTGGGTCAGACTGCATGTGGAAATCAATGGCCAAGTGTTTTTAAAAAGAAAAGTGATAATCAAAACTCTCATGAGTTGACTAGAAACCAGGGAAGTCAAAGGAATTGGTGTGTGTTGATAATGACTATGAAGTCATTAAAGCAGCCAACTTATGCTGCTTTAAGCAAAATGGGGAAATCATAAGATTTGGGGGGTCCCCATGGAAGCCAAAAGGGAAATACATTAAGTCCCAAGAAGGACCAGAGACAAACTAGACAATGAATAGTTCTGTGTTCACCACCGATTCCCCTCTGAGGAAGACATTGGATAACATTGTTATCCACGTTGACAGATGAGGAAACCAAGGCATACAGAGTTTAAGTGATCACCAGGGCTTTCTGGTTCTGTAGCCAGCACCCTACACTACCTTTACTGAGCCTTTTGACTTTTTTTTTATTATTATTTTTATTTTATTTATTTATTTTTATGTGGTGCTGAGGTTCAAACTCAGTGCCTCCCACATGGTAGGCAAGTGCCTAGCCCCTTTATTGAGCCTTTTAATACCCATGATCCTGCTCTTACCTGTTTCAAATGATGTGCATCAGAATGAAATATGATAATGGATGGGAGTCTTCAAGGAGAGAGTGATTTCCTGAGCGCCTCTGTGCCCCTCATCACAGTCAGTTCCCACAGCCATCCATCATGGGCGGGGAACAAAGTACACACTCATTGCTGATGGGCAGCCTGAGATTTGGGGGTGGGAGTGGCTTGCCCAAGCTCACCCAGCTAAGAAGTGCTGGACCCATGGCCCAAACCAACATCTTTCCTCTCCAGGCCACATCCTGTTACTAACCATAGTCTCTCTCCTGCCAAGGGAGTGTTATCAGCCTCCCTATAATGGGAACTGGCAGGCACCCAGTAGCAGCGGGGGCTTTGCCGCTGCCTTCCCTGCTTCTTACAGCAGCTTGCAAGGTAGCTTTTACTTCTCCACTTCAGTGTGCAAGAATCAGGCTTAAAGAGGGGCCTGGAAAACTGGCCAGAAGTCCCACTGCCAGTGAGCTGCAGACACCTGGACTCAAATCAGAAACTGACCCCAGTGCAGCGCCACAGCCCAGGCCTTTCCCCCAGGCCTCATGCACTTTGCAAGTAAAAGCTTCCAAGAGGCCACTTAGGATGGATACTGTAGTGGACAGCTTTTGATTTTTGCTGGGATACTTCAGAAAAATAGGCACTGACCAGAAATCAGAAAAAGATTTTAAATTGCAGTTTTTTACAACAGTGAAAAAACCCTCTGGGGATTGGGGTGATTTTGAGAACACCTGAAACAATAATAAAGAAGCAGGGTGCCCCTTCCCACACTGGCACCTTTGGCATTCTGCCTTTGGGATCCAATAGCCGTGGCCCTATGGAAACAGCAGCAGCCCTGAGGCGAGCCTCCCTGCTGGGTCTTTGTGTCTTCTCACTGTCCCAGTGTTGTAGTGCTGTCCAAGGGCCACGGTCACATGGCCCCTGGCTCTGCTGCAAGGGCTGTAGGGTTTTGTTTTCTGTAGATGAAGACAGGCTGGCACAGAGCAGCGGCCACTCTGCTCGTCTGAACTGGACATGATGTTGCTCATAAGGGCCACACCAGGCCACAGACCATGGGGGCCGAGCTCACTAAGGGTCTTGGAGGCCGTGGGGGGCAGAACTGGCTACAAAGTTTGTGGGACATGGTGCAAAATGAAATTGTACAGTTTATGTTAAAATTTATTAGAAATGTCAAGACCCCCAACAACAGAGCCTAAATTTAAGCTCCCAACCTTCTGAACAGGACTTCATGGCACATGCCCAGGAGGCCAGCCCGTAATGACAGGGGGCCTGCCCCCTTTTGGCTGAAAGAGAGGGGGTCTGTCAATTTTTCTGATCCTGGAGATGAGGTAAGGGTGCACTTCCAGTTGGAATCAGTGTGATTTTTTTAGCCTCCCAGAATGCAAATGCCCCTCCTCTCTGGCTGATCTTTCTCCAGGGTTTACAGTGGGTCTTTGGCAATCAGGTGTGCTACCGAGTGAGTGTGTGGGTATGTCCCTGTGGATATTTGTTGAAGGACACACATTTCAGAACATGTCCAAGATGGTGAAATCCACTTGTGTTCACTAAATGTTGTGCCAAATCCTGTGCTCACCCAGGATGTGAGGGTGAGGCCCACGAGCAGGGGCTCAGGTTCCTGTGCACAGAGGCACCATGCAGATGAATCAACCCCGTATCATGACCAGGGCCATGACAAAGAGGGCGTGGTGCTTCAGGAGCCCCAAGGAAGAAAGGCCCAGCATCACAGAGGGTGATCAGGCAACAAGTCTGGACGGAGGCATAGGAAGAGAGGGTGGGTGCTCCCACGTGCTCCCACTGGTGGGCGTAGCAGGTGCAAAGCAGCAAGATGAGTCTGCTGGGTGTGAAGAGCATCGCCCTTTGCAGCTGAGGGCGATTTCCATGGAAGTAAAAGGAGGGGCTTGGGGACTGAGGGGAGAGTGGCTCCCAGACCACTCCCAGGCCACACTGATAGGACATAAGTGCCAAGCTAAGGGGCCTGGCCACTGATTGGCAGGTGGGTTCCATTCTTAGATGCCACAGGTTAGGAAGGCTAAGAACAACTACCTCTCCAGGAATAGGGATGGCTAGACAGGAATAATCTGGAATTCACTAGGAGAAGAGGGATTAGGAAAAGCAGACAGTGTTCAACTCTCAGCAGGTATCTCAGGTCTGGCCTGGGGATGCGTTTGTGGCCCGTGTGGGGAGTGGGGGACAGCTGGCTCATGTGCATCTCATTTCTTCGTATTTGCAGCTTCCTGCAGAAGTGGTGGAGGCTCAGGCAGTGACTTGTGGTCCCATCCAAACAGGGGTGGCAGTTCTGTGATCACCCTATGTTCTCTGGCTTAAGACTTTTGTCCAACAAGAAGTAGGAGAGGTGGCAGGAAGTGAGGGACAAGGATATCCTCAAAGAAGAATCCTCCTTAAATAAAACTCTGAGGTTTTGTTTAAATTCAACGAGGTTCTCTTTGTGAGGGTTTAGGGGCTCCTCTACTTTTCCTCCCCTGGTCCAGCAAGGCTGAGTGGACCCAGTCACTGGAAGTCATTCTCATTAGCAGGTCCTTGACAAATCAGTATGCAAGTGGCTGGCTGTACGGCTAGCACCACCGCCCAGCACAAGAGGCCCAGTGAGCGCCTGTCACCGGCTTCCCACAGCACCCCCCATCCCCACCCCTTTCCACTCTTCTGGGCTCTATACCCTGTGCCCACCCCAGCTCTTTGTTTTGTTGAGATCTGAGTGGACTTGGCATCCGCATAGCCCCAGGGTTGGTGGGTTTGGGTGGGGGCTGGGCAGCCCTTTTGAAAGGGTAGACCAGGCCAGCAGCCCTGCAGGGAACCAGGAGCATCCCAATGAGATTAAATCACCAGTCTGGGCAGGAGGGCCACCTGTCTGTGACCTTCCTCTGGAATCTTGGAGTGGGAGACCGGAAAGTCTCCAGGAACATGGGGCCCTCAATATCAGTATTGAGTTGGAGTCCTCAGTCGCCAGGGGAGAGCAGCAAAGAAGCCGTGTTCCAGCTGCATTCCAGCCTCTCTGGAGTCTTTCCCAATTCAGTAGGGAAACCAGACTCTGAAAGGAGGGGTAAGCGAGCAGATTTACTTGCTGTTCCCCAAGTATTTTTTATAGCATTCCTGTGTCCAGCAGGAGCTGGGGCCCGACAGGGTGTCCTCCAGTTATCAGGCAACAAGCTGCAGGCCCCGCAGTGAGGGGTCACACAGATAGCACTTCTGTTGCAGCAGAGCTTTGGCTGAGGAGGGCCGTAAGGACCTAAAGGTCCCTTGCCTGCCCAGCTAGGCAGGTGGTGTGAGAGTTTCCACATCCTGGGCAATGTGGGTGGCAGCTCAGATTCAGAGGTCCCCTGACACCTCTACTTACCCTGGACAAACACAAGCCACTGGCAAGACTTGGGAGATTTGGTTCTCTCTTTCCTTACTTTATCTCTCTGCATGGGGCCGTCTGCGTGAGGGAAGGTTATACTCACAGATGGACACTCCCCACAGTCTCTCAGTAATTAAATGCCTTTGGCTCTTATTCCACTTATGACCTACAGATACCTTTATGGGGCAGAGGCGGTTCATTTAACAAGCAAGTCGTAGCTCTAGGATGTTGCAGCTTCAAGTACATCACTTTCTCTCTGGATTTCTCGCTGGGTCTCAGAGAGAGGGAGACATTGGCCCCTGGAAGGCTGTTTCCCTCTTTATTTTTGACTATTTAGGGACGGGGGGTACTCGGGTTGAAAACAGGGCTTTGTGCATGCTAGGCAAGTGCTCTACCACAGAGCTACATCCCCGGCCCTTCCCTCTGCATTCCTGATGGCCCTGTGGATGATACTGGTTGAACAAAGCCCCCAGCCCCTTCCCATCTACAGGCTCAAATCATTCCTAGCCCTAGGCAGGTGGTTTGGAGAAGCCTCTGGCCACCACTTTGGGGTCACTATAGTAAGAAGGCTGGCACTCCCTTTGTGCCCAGATCTGGACACTGGCTTCCACCTTGTGCCTCCTTCTAGCAGGCGATGTGCTAAGGAGAACCCACACCTGATTCTAGGCGAGCCCTATCCCCACCTGCTGTGTGCCCATGGCCAAGTTCACAGTCCTTCCAACCCTGTGGTCTCCCTGGTGAAATGAGGAGGCCTCCTAAAAGAGATGCTTGAGACACTGCTCAGCACAGAGCTGGCTGCATAGTAGGCTCTCAGCCACTGCTGATCATTAATGTCATCAACAGATTTCAGTGCCCAGCAGATCCCCATCTTGTTTCCTTACCTTGAACGTGCCTCTCTGGACCTCAGGGCCAAGAAACTCAACCTTAAACTTGTTTTTGCCAGTCTTTCCCCTTTTGTCCCCCACCTCCCTACCCCATGGAGGGTGAAGTAGGGTAGTCTAGCCTACGTACAGCTGGCTGGTCATCCCAGTGTCCCCTGACCCTGTGTACCTAGCCATTGTTCTTAGCACACTTACCCCAAAGTACCTCCTACCAGTGTCTTGACCAGTGCTGAACTCGGGGTGTCTGTTGCTGAGAGCTTTGGGCCATGATTTGCTGCCAAGTAGGACTTTTTTTCAGGACCCAGAGAGTCTAATCCATCCTGCTCAGTCCCACCACCCTGAGTGTCCCTAAATGTCACAGAATCTTGGGAAGAAACCTTTTTGAGGTAAAGCTCTCAGAGTGATAAGGATCTGTAAAATATTCAGAAATAGGCAATTTTCCGTGTTCTCAAAAAATAACATTATTTCCTGAAGAGTGTCCAGTAAAGTAAAATAATTGGTAACTTTTTAAGATCAGCCTTACTCCAACCCAAATGATAGAATTAAGAATAGCAATACTGGGGCTGGGTTGTGACTCAGTGGTGGTGCACTTGCCTAGCATGAGTGAGGCACTGGGTTTGATTCTCAGCACCACATACAGATACATAAAATAAAGGCCCATCAACAACTAAAAAATATTAAAAATAAACAAATAAATAATTTGAATTTTTAAAAAATAGCAATACTGACAGAGGTTCCTAACCCATCCTGAGTTTCAGAATGATTTAAGAAATTTTTTGGAAAAAGACATCCAGGCCCAGACACAGTGGGCCAGTTTGTGGGGTGGGGCAGGCTGGGCCAGGCCTGTCTGTTGGGGAGCAGGGAGAGCTCCATCCGGGAGAAGCACTTCTCCTGGTGTTTCACCATGCCAGCTCCCTGTCTGGATTTCCATAGAATTTACAGTGACTGCTCTGAGGTCCTTCTGGGTGATTCCATCTCCACATGGCTCCTTCCCTCAGTGCAGGGAGAAGCAGAGGGTGGGGAGTCAGGCTCTAATTCCTAGAAGAATCAGAGTGAGACTCATCCTTGCTTCCCTCCCCCTCCAGCCTGGTGGGTAGCTGACAGGCACCTCTGCCATCCCACCCTCTGCCACCCTCTTAGGTCCACCTTGTTGCCTGACTCCAAGGCAACCTGTGAGAAGCTCCCAAGTCAGAAACACTTCCTTACATGATTTTTTTTTTTTTGGCCGTATTGGGAATTAAACCCAGAGGTACTAAACCACTGAGCTACATCCTGGCCCTTTTTTTTTTTTAAATTTTGATACAGGGTCTTGCTAAATTGCCCAGGCTGACCTCAAACTTGCAATCCTCCCACCTCTACCTTCTAAGTAGCCGGGATTATAGGTGTGCACCATCAAACCGGCCCTTACATGCTTTGTTTAAAAAGAAAGTCTATCCACATTGTGGCATGTTTCATCAGACAGTGACTCTACTGTAAGACCTAAGGGCCATGGGCTGACTGGGCAAGAGGCAGCTGTGGGAACCACTCCCAGAGAACTGACGCATGGGGTGGAGGGCAGGGTTCAGGTGTGTCTGTGGAGATCTCAGGCATCAGCCCATCCCTTCTCTAGCAGGGGATGAGCCCCTGCCTCAGAAGGACAGGCAGGTGCCACTGACCTCCTGCATCCAGCACCATGGTCTGGCATAGACCATGCCCACGAAATATTTGCTGGATGAGGTGTTTTTGAAATGGGGAGGACAGAGGTGTACTGCAGTGGAGGTGGGAAGAGGGTAAGATAGAAGTGAAAAGGGAGAACAAGAACTGTGTCAACTCAGTGACCCCTTGTACCTTTCTTGGATGCTCCTTTCCTCGGGGTGGTGAGGCCAAGATCATATAATAAATGCTCAAGAACCCAAAGAACCATGCACAGCGCCTGTCAAGTGTGAGCCAGCAGCTACAGGGGCTTGCCCATCCTGTGGCCTCCTCCACGGCTCTGCGGCTTCTCCCTGTGTGTAAGGAGGGGCTGGGCCTCCTCCGCACCACTGAGTGGTTGGGAGGCTCAGGTTTGCCATGGCCACAATGTCCCCTCTCTTCCCTTTTCCCAGGCGTCCTTTGAGGTGTCAGTGGAGGCATGGAGCTGCCCCAGCAGACCCGTGGAGCACGTGTTCACCCTGCGGCCTGTGGGGTTCCGGGACAGCCTGCAGGTGAGGGTCACCTACAACTGCACCTGTGGCTGCAGTGTGGGGCTGGAGCCGGACAGCGCCAGATGCAGCGGGAACGGGACCTACATCTGCGGCCTCTGCGAGTGCAACCCCAGCTACCTGGGCACCAGGTGCGAGTGCCAGGAGGGAGAAAACCAGAGCGTGTACCAGAACCTGTGCCGGGAGGCAGAGGGCAAGCCGCTGTGCAGCGGGCGTGGCGAGTGCAGCTGCAACCAGTGCTCCTGCTTTGAGAGCGAGTTCGGGAAGATCTATGGGCCTTTCTGCGAGTGTGACAACTTCTCCTGTGCCAGGAACAAGGGCGTCCTCTGCTCAGGTAGGCGTCCCTGGCCAGAGCTTTGCTCTGAGCCGCACCCAGGCCCAGAGGCTGCTAGGATATCTTCCCAAAACCTGCCTGTCTCTCAGGGTGGCTGTGAGAAGTGTCACTGCCACAGCTGGGAGGTGACAGTGGACAAGCCTTGCCGACAGCTAGGCACAGGGGTGGGGACCTGTGCATGGAATACAAAGCAGAAGGCACTGCCACATGGCGGAGCTGGGCCTCTGGGTCATCCAGCCCACGCTGCACTTCAGCAGGACTTGCCTGCAAGACAGGGGAGATGTTCAACTTCCCTTGATCACCTCCTGGGACAGGGCTGTTTATGGCCTGGGCTGGTTATGGCCTCCCCTTGTTAAATATAGTATTCATTTCTTATTGCTTCTCTAACAAGTCACCATAAAACCAAATGACTTAAAACAGTTATTTTCTTTCAGTCTGAAATGGATCTTATTTGGCCAAAATCAAGGTGTCCTCAAGGGTTGCTTTCCTTCCAGAAGGTCTAGGGGAGAATCCATTTTTTTAACCTCTTTTCTGGCTGCTAGAGGCTGCCTGTATTCTTGTTTGTAGCTCCTTCCTCCATTTGCAAAGCCAGCCACCTCAGGTCTTCTTCTGACCTGTGACCTCTGCTTCTGTTGTCACATCTCTTCCTCTGATGCCCCTGCCTTCTTTCATAGACCTTGTGGGTATCTTGGACTCTGGATAACCAGGACAGTCTCCCTTCTCAAGTTTCTTAACTGAATCACGGCTGCAAAGTCCCTTTACCATGTAAGGTAACAGTCGTGTAAAGTGCCAGGGACTAGATAGGCCATCTCGGGGGCTGCTGTTATTCAGGTCAGAGGCCTAGGTTAGACGTCCTTCTTTGCATCAAACAGAAACTTGTTTCTCAGTAACTTCCACCTACTGATTCACGTTCTAGACCCTCTTCCACATGGCGACCTGTCAGATGTCTGAAAGCTGCTTTATGCCTCCCTGTTGGCTCTTATCCAGGCTGGACTCTCCTTTCTCTAAGGGCCCTGTCACTTGTTCAGGCTTCACAGAATGGAGCACATGACTTGTCGCTCTGGATAATGAAGGCTCAGTGAGAGCATTCACTTCCTGTGGTGCGGACACTCTGCTGCCATCCTGCATCCTAACCCTAACCCTAACCCTATCCCTCTTTTCTTTTCCATTCAACAGTCACATTATACCCTTGAGCTTGTTTTTAACTTGATACCCAAAGTTTGAGGCATTTATTTGTTTATTTCAGTACTGGGGATGGAACCCAGGAGTGCTCTACCTCTGAGCTACATCTCCGGTTCTTTTTAATATGAGACAGGGTCTTGCTAACTTGCCTAGGCTGGCCTTGAACTTGGAATTTTCCTGCCTCAGCTTCCCAAATAGCTGAGATTATAGGCATGCACCACTGTGTCTGGCTCTAGCCAAGCTAAGTTTTTATTGTGTGATGTTTGAGCACTTTTATTTCTTTTTAATCTGAGCACAGGGGTTTTCACTGATTCCCATTCAATTACAAGTTGGCAATTCCTATTCTGGAGTTACATTCTGATGAGATACTTTAAAATTGTATCTCAACAGAGCCATTTCCACTCAGCACCATGCCACCTGCAAATAAGCAGAAAATTTTTACATAGGACTATAGTTTACTCTATGGATTGTTTATTCTGTGGCTTCTTGGATTCCCTCCTTGAGAGTAGTCTTCTAGCTGGGAAGGGTTGACTTGAAAGGAACTTGGGATTAAGCTATGAAAGAAGGCATGAAGTAAGGTGTGTGTGTAGCAAATCAGGAACCTGTAAACAACATGTCCCCTGAGAGGAGTACCTATCCTCCCATGGAAGAAACAAGTGCCGAGGGCTGCAGACGTGGGTGAGCAAGGGAGGCTTCCTGGAGACAAGTGTGAGTACGCCCAAGGGTGTGGTGGTGGCAAAATGCTCCAAACTGGAACTGCCCTGGAAAGTACAGGACATTTGAATGTCATAGAGTAAAGTGGGTGGACCAGTTAGGATTCTGTAAAATATGCAAAAGGGATTGGTTCGACTTTTTCTCCATCCTGGTGATGATGGATTGGTATGAGCTGGACGGTTCTGTCTGGGTTAGCAGGAAAAGCATGAGCTCAGGAGCAGCAGGCCTCTTGCCTGAATCCCCTAACGCCACATGCTGAGGTGAGACTTTGGGCACAGAGTTGTTGTAAAAGAGGAGAAGGTACATGAAGCACCTCACATGTTGCTTGGCACAAAAGAGGGGCTCACCCACCACTGGTTCCTGCACAAGTCAGTGCCACAGACCCTGGGGAGCTGCAGCTGATGCCCAGTGTGCAGTGGTGCCAGCCCTGCCCGGTGAATCCCTAGGCTTTGCCTAAGGAAGCCCAGCGTGGTGGGATGGAGTTTCCATTCCACTTAGCAGCCACAGTAAGAGTTCCTTGAAGCCCAGCTGTGTCGGTAATGGACTTGGAGCAGTGTTCATCTTTAAACAATGATTATCAAACATCCCTGTGTGCTCCCTCCTTCTACCTCAGGAGCCAGAAATAACCCTCCGAAATGTTTTCGCCCCAGAAGTTTGTTCACATCCATGCCGCCTGGAGCAAATTTGCCTGTGCCTACTCCATTTCCAGTTTATCACCCTCAGACTTAGGTTGTGCTAGACGTTTTGTTTTCCCCTCTCTAAAATGGGACCAACTCCATTCGGTTCTGCAGCACTTTGAGAACAGAAGAAGGCATGGATGAAGGACCTGAATAGAACACAAAGCCCGGCAGGCACAGGGCAATGGGTGGATGAGGTGTGAGTGGCCCTCAGTGGAGAAAACTTATCATTTTGGAAACAAATATTCTGAGGTTGAGTGAGCACATACATTTTTGGTTCAACCAGTGTAATCTACAGTTCTTCTGAGTTAATTTTACATTTCAGAATTCTACCAAACCCTGTGTCTGAATTCTATCCCTGGGTACCCACTCTCTCACCTTCACTTATACAATCCTGTGACCTGGAGGCTCTCACAGATCATGGGGTGGGGAAATTGGAGGGCTGCCGGACCCCGGAGCCTCCCATGTGAGTGGTGCTTCAACTCTAACTTCCTGGGATTGCTGAGATGGAGCCCCCCACCGCCATCCCTATTGGAAAAGCCATGTTTATTCAATAAAGAAAACTTGCAAAATATAAGGAAACTGATGGATGTGCCATCAAATGGGGCCATCTGACTCCTTCATGGTGAGCAGGATTGATGTGGACCATCTGGCAAACTAGTCAAGGGCATTTTTTTTCACTCTCTCTGTTTCATGTGCACCCTTTTAAAGTGTGTGTTTAATCAAGAGAACAACATTTCCAGGAAATTAACGGGTTATTCTTTGATCCAGAATATTCTGAAGAATAGAAATAAATTTTTAAAATCATCCATAATTTTCATCACTCATATTTTACAAGGTTAGTTTCTTTCCTTCCAAACTTTTTTCTTTTCCTTTTTTTGTTTTGTTTTGTTGAGGCACAAGCAGAGATTTATTTAGGAGAGCAAAGATCATGCACTCAAAGGGAAAGAGACAGTGCAGGCTATCTTAGAGAAAAAGTTTCCTTCCAAACTTTTTCCTAAGTTGGGGAGGGGGAATACATATAATTTCATATCTTGCTTTTTTTCTGGATAATATTACATCTAGAGAAGCATTGGAAGTTGAGTTGCTTTGGTAAATCATCTATTAGAACATTTTGACTTTCTTTCCATTGCCCAACCAACTAGCCTTTTTTACCCCCTTACTTTAAAAGCCACAGGTAGTTGACGTGTACTGCTATCCAAGTCTCCTGGAGAAAATGGTTTCTGGAATGAGATCATTGCTGTTAATTTAAGAAGGACTGAAAGCCGAGCCCAGCTCCAGGCAGGACTTGATGACACAGATTCCTGCCACGGCTCCCCACACGCTGTGGCGGGCTCTTCCTTGTGTCTCAAACCCTCCAGCTCCTTCTGGAGGCCTCTGTGAGTGGGGGCGGAGGAGCTCCTGCGTCCACTTGTTGGGCATCGTGGTCAGGGGGGCTCCTGCACCATTAGAACTGTGCGAGTTGGTTTCGAGCCCTGGGTTGCTGGGTCGTTTGGGGCATTTGAGGGAGCAAAGCCTATTTCCCAACCACCGCTTTGCTGCTGCAGATGCTGACTCAGGCCGACCGCAGCTGACCTCAGCATCCTCTCGCAGTTCTTCTCACCCCTCTCCCTGGCGCCTGTTCTAGAAGAGGATCGTGTGGTTGTGGTTTGTTTTCAGAGGGGAACTGAGGGGTACGCTTGTAAAAGCCGCTGAGGCAGCAGCAGAATCATTAGGGACACCCAGAGAAGCTCCTTCCACCCCTCTGGCTTGCCTTCTACAAGAGGCTTAGAGTCCTTGCACCCTACTGAGAGCCAGAACTGCGGGCGAAATGCAGTGATCACAGATTTGGAATAGGTTTTCTGTCATGAAAATGAGTCGTGAAGCAGATCAGACGCAGATCTGGAAGCAATTGAACAGCTCTGTGGTTGCTTTGTGACTCTCGCTGTGGGAACACATGTGTGATGGGTCCCTGGAGGCTCCACTGGTTTCTGGAAACAGCGTAACATAGAGAATGGTTCTGTCCACAGTCTAGTTCTGTGTGTGAGGGGAGCTTTATGGGCTATTGTGAGGGTTTCTGTTTCTTTGGAGTCTTGCAAAAGTGTTGATGCTTTAAAGTCCCTTTGAATATGAAAAGTAGGAGATGGTCGGTTTAGTTGTTTATAATGTAATAAAAAATTCTTGCATCAACTATGTTCTTTGCTGTTTGTATACAAACAATGCACCTTAGCCCAGGAACTTCTTCAATCTTGGTGTATAAGTGACCACACTGTATAATTTGCTAATCTTTAACCTACCTTTTAGGTTTCATATAATGAGAAAATTTAAATGAAAGATGTAGAACTCTGAGCAGGACACTTGACTGTGAGACCCCAAAAGTACATCTAGACAAGCTTACATCATATGTAGCTTTAAATTACTATGTGATGGGCAATTAGAGGTCAAGGG